CTTCTTAGCTGTTCTTTGTTAAAACAATTTGTATGTAGTCGATATTAGGTTGAAAAACCCAAATCTTAAACGTGCAAAAATTTTAAAGAACAGAATACACAGGCCATTCATGCTTTTAGGGGAAACTTTTGGAGCGAAACTTTGATATTTCAATATTTCAATATTTACATGTTTTCTTGATTGCTTATACTGCATCTTGCATTGACTTAGGAAGTGAAAATTATTATAAGCTAGCCACTGAAATGTTTTTTATGCCTGATCAAAGCATTAAATCCTAATAAAAAACGTGATTCTTGTAAATAAATTGAGACTTTCCCAATTATATTTACTTACATTACTTTTTTAGATGGAAATTCTGGCAATTCGTAATAACAATACATTCACTTCCTGAATAATAACATATCCATACATTGTAATATAAAGATGATTGATGAATTGTTGGTGTTTGACGCAATTTTCGGTTTAGCACTCTTGGCTACTAAAGTATTTAGCGGTGATATATGTAAGTTTTTATTGGTTGAGGCTCACGGAGTGCCAAAGGAACCATCGATCTTCGGCAGGAAAACTGGCAATCCTCGTCAACAATACATTAGTTATAACTATTAGTATCGAGGACGACATTACTGTGTAGGCGTCACAACATAAACTGTACCAATCAGTATCAATTAACTTTTGTAAAAGTAGGTAACCTCTTACAAAAAAAGCAGTTTTGATATTGATGTTTACTTCAGCTAAATGTTACAAGTAAAGTTGCTTAATAGAAACAAAAATGTAAATACATTTGAACCACTTTTATTTCAAATTTAATTGACCATGATTTTGCATTAAAATTTCAATGTAAATGTGCCACATAATATTTTAAGGCATTTAGAAAAAAGAGCACTATTTTAGTAGATCATGCGTTAAGCTTTGGTTGGACATTGGCATGTTAACCTAGAGATAGTACATGTACATTAAGAATAGATATGGTTAAAATGAATTTTTGTTATTCTAAAACATCTATACAATTGTGAGAAATGAAAATTGTGGTTGAAATTATCCAGTGGCAGTTGTTATCTAATAGTTGTTTTTATGTTTGTTGCATTGTCGTTTGTTTTTTTATGTTGCACTTCAGTGTTTCTGTTGTTTCGTTGTTTTCCTCTTATAGGTGATGTGTTTCCTCCGGCTTTAGTTTGTAACCCGGATTTCTTTTCTCTCAATCGATTTATGACTTTTGAACAGCGGAATACTACTGTTGCTTTTATTTATCCAGTTTTTTAATTGGTTTTATGTCATCTTATCTTAAATTATGTTTGTGGATATTTATTGGTCACTGAGCCCTCTGTTGTTGATCTGACAGCGACTTTTGGTGATTTTCCCACTTTATTTTCATATTTATTCCGTTCGAGAATAATGAAATCAGAGATCTACATTTTAATAAGATTGGGGTTAACTTTATGAGATAGCTTGAAAGCAGGTATGTTCTGGTAAATTTTAAAAGATTACTATTTTTAACTCTATTCGAATATGTCTATTATTAAGCAAATCCCTTTACGTATAACATCCATATGTGCACTTTGAACTTCCTTAATTCTACCAAGCAAAGGTTTGGTAAGAGACTTTCCGTTTTAAATTTTCACTTGGAGTTCGGTAATTTTTGTTGTTTTACTTTTTTAAATTTGCATCAAAATCTGAGTTTTAATTTCTGTTGTCTTTTTTTCGTTCAGCTTTGAAACTTATGGTTTTCTTTTCTTTGGTTGAAAAAAGGAATAAAATGACAAAGAGGCAGTCTCAAATCATAGTCAAAGAAAAATAGATGACAGCATGACCAAGGCAAAAAAGGAGGACAAACAAACAAAACTTCTTCAAACACTATACCGAAATGTGCGAACACTACATAAACCAGTATGGTGATTACAGTTGCTCAGGAAGGGTATTCAATCTTAATTAATCTGAATTATTTATTTTCAGTCATATTTAAAAAAAAACAAACTAATAAAGTATATAATAATGGTCTAACATTAAAAGGAATTCGCCGGATTTGATATTGAAAAGTGCATGGTACAAACAGTTTTAATTCGAACATTGAACGAGAGTAAACTTCGTTACATGTCTTTTCACATCGGAAAACTAATCTTTACTAAATATAACTTTTTTGTTCCTTAAAGTTTTTCCATTTCCCTTTCTTTATAAATATGGTTAGTCATTATCTGCCAATATTGGCAATATTATCTAGCCAAAAAAAGCAAAACCATCCCCATTTGCAGATGGTGTTTTTAGGGCAACTGCAAAAGCTTTGTTAGAAGGCTGCATTTTGACCTATATCATATTAATAGCAGTTTAAAATGATGAAAAAGTTCCTTCGGCCTATAAACGATAAATCTAATCTATTTTTGACATACAAATATTCAAACTTCAGAAAGTATTAAGATTTCATTGCAATTTTATGATTTTTTGAAGTTTTTTTAAGAAGTGCAATTTTCTGTGAATATAGCGCAATCAACACTCAAGTTTGCATTTGATTTGGAATTATGGTAAATTGTTTTATAAGGTTTAGAAAAAAATCTTTAAAAATAACAAAACCGACCAGTAAGACAATATCTTCAGAATACATTATACCAGATATAATAAAACTCGACACAGTAAATGTTGTTACCTAGACGAGACTGCCGTCGTTGTACGCTTCAAGATACGAGTTATTGCCACTCAATGATGATATGTTTCTGTTCAGCTCCCTTCCTCCTTGTTTGGATGGATATGATAAAATGTAACCCCTGATATGGACATTATCAATTATGTGATTTAATGTTAGAAGAAAAGAAAAAAAAAATCAAAACCAAACAATTTTTTTTTTTTTTAAGTAATAATGGTCATTGACAGATACAATATGTAAAACGTCGGAGAGGGAATTGGAACTCTGTTATTTTGATCAGTTTGAATAAAATAGGTAAATGAAAAGATCTGTTTTTAACTTGTTTTTTCTGGAATTATCTTCATCGAAGCACTGATCATTCATTTATTGTTGGACCACAGGTTGTTAGTGAATCGTTTGATTGTAAATGTCGTGAAAATACTTTATTTCAGAATGGAATTTAAAGAAAAAATATAACGGGATTTGAATAATTTGATTTTAATTTCCTCCTAGCAATAGGTGTTAACATTCCATATGTTTAGGATTTTATTAACGTCCTCCTTATTCTGATGTAGTTGTCCTATTTAAACTATGCTTATAAGATTACAATAAAAGTAGTTTGTTTTTTTAAACAGGCTTCCAAAACAATATCGGATTTCTTCTGTACATTTCAATAAATTTCAAAGACTGTTCACACTTGAAACATATGGAAAGTTGTTCGACCAAAATAGCCAGGATCAACTAATTTCTTTTTTCATCCCATGCCAACAAACCCTTTTCTATCTGAGTTTATACGTCTGCTTGTTTTTGTTAAATTCTATCTGTATTCTTTTCCAAATAAATTTCCTTTTTCTATTTTGCTAGCGCGCATATTTCGGTGACCATCAAAAAACGAATGGGCTTCTTAGCAATTGCATTAGTTGTGATACAATTCCCCGTACTTTCACACATTATCATGCGTTTCTATAACTTTAATTTATAAGAATGTATTGCAAAATAAAACCAACTCAGAATTAATAGCTATGTCTGTTATGCATAAGAACACATATAGATAAATCGTACAAATGCTTTCTTGTCAATAGAAACAGAACATTAAGAAAGTATAGATTTAAATGTAAAGAACGAGAAGAAGAATGGGAGGAAGACGACGATGCAATCAATTTGAAAAAAAACGTATTGCATCAAATCCGAAAGTAAAAGGTTAATTTTTTTTTTTTAATTCACATAAGTGTAAATATTCTACTTGCTCGTGTTTGTTCCTTCATTTGAATCGCATCTAAGTAAATATTATGCTTTGTGATTATGATTTTATATAAAGAAACATTTATATTTCAACTATTTAATACCAGACTGAGGCAAATCGTTTGTCTAATTCGTTTTAAGTTATTATAAAACATCAGCTTTTACGTTTGCCGTCAATTTCATGGAAATCGACAACGGCAGGAACGATAATTTGTTCCGTAACGTCATTCGGTATTGTGTAACCTTAAGATTTTTGTATATATGATGTATATGGCATACTGTTACAAGCAAACCAATGTGCTTATAGTTTATATAAAATTTCTTGCATTCACTTTTCCCAATATTTTATAAATGTAACATCTACAAACTCATCGTAAATACTAGGATTAAAATTGAGTTTGCCAAACGCGTGTTTCGTCTACAAAAGAATCATCAGTGATGCTTGAATCAAAATAGTTAAAATATTCTATAGTTTTGAAAATGTCTGCTAAGACTTAAACCGGTCGTACTAAATTGTACGCATATAATATGTCTAAATATGACCGTTCTTTTTTCTCGAAGCTTCTTAGTTTTGCTCTTTTTCGATCTGGAATGTGTTTGAATTCTCTTTGTTCTGTTTTGATTTTTACTGATCTTTTTTTGCTGTGCCTTCATTTGACTTTTTTTCTATGTTTTTTGTTTTTGTTCTTGTTAACTTCAATGATTCTTTTTTGTGTTACTCATTTAAGAAATGTTCAGACGAAATAACTCATTTTAAAATTAAAAATTTGTTGTTAAAATGTTATTAAACAGATGTTTATTCTACAAGGGACGTTACAAAGTTGCAGACAAACTCACAATGTCACGGCAACAATAAACCGTAAAACGACTAAAGACAAACAACAATCGACACATCACAGCAAAATAAACAAGAAACAAGATGTTATGCAGAAGAACGATGACAGGACACAAGTTGGTCAATGAAATGTTTACGACAGTAATTCGTAAAATGATAAATTTGTTGGTGTTCAAATCATGCAATTTACCAATTATTATGTGCAATTTGCAAAAAAAAAAAAATACAATAATACTTTTAATAATATAGGTAACCACAAACCAAAACTACAAACAACTGAAATCTTAAATATTTATGCATCTCGTTGAACAACATGAAACTAGATAGTTTCAATTGATGCGTATATTTTTTTTTTAAAACTCTATATCGCTTCCAGAATTATTATACATGCAATAAACCGAAACACTATGTCCTCTTGTCTTGCTCTTTGCATTCTTCTGGCATTTGAGAAATTACTTGTTTGGAATCAAGCGTCCTTGGAACTAGGATCCTTTTTTTCGTAAAATCAGTTAAGTTTTCACAATGTTTAATTGCACTATTTGATACCTATAACATAACACAATTGTGTATATTAATAATTGAACAATGAGGTGCATACACTAATAGAACAGCAGCCATTACATACAAGAGCATATTAGATAGTTTTATACCTGTAGGTATTTGTTACAAATTAACATCTATGTTGTATGGAAGTCTTGTTAAGTATGCCTTATAAATTTATTGTCTTACAACTTCCACAATACTTTAACGTTATGATAAAAGTACATGTAATGTTAATTGTATATAGATATATAGACGTCTATCCCTGCTGAACACAAGAGTTAAGTAAGGTTTTGGTGGTTTTGTGTTGTTTGTTTTTTGTTTTTGTTTGCTCTAACGTATGAACTTAGAATGGCCAATGGAGTTTTAAATCTTTTTATCAGTTGATTCTGGGAGGAAAGGGTTACCTGTAACTAATTTTTTAAAACTATAATTTCAAGAAAATATATTAGGAACAATTTATAGTATATCAAAACATACACATTTTGCTAGTTTGAATGATAATTTCGTTGAACCTTACAATTTGGGAAACATTATTGAACAATTGAAACCTTTTAAACCCTAATAAGACACATTAATAGTTAAAATATCCATAGCTTAACCTTCTGTGTGGAAGTGGCTATATTACATTTTTAGTTAAATTAAAAAAAAAGAGAGTCGAAAGACACCAATAGGACATTCAAACTCATACGTTGAAAAGATAATGATTTTAAACTGTACAAAGGGGCAAGCGCGTACCGAAGAGGGCATAAAAAAACCCATAAGTCGAAAAGGCATATTCATTAATGACTACACGATAAAACATAAAAATATTAACAGACAATATTTGTTTTTTAAATTTACAAAACTTAACGTTTGACAAACATGAAAATTGGTCTGAACGCATGTAATCAGTCTCATTAGTGACATATCTCCTGTGAAAAAATGAACAAAGAAGTTTTGTTGATAAACCGTGCTATTATTACCATGAGACTTCCAAATATTCAAATACCAGTACCTGAAATAAAAAAAAAATCATACATACTTTCTCTAAGCGTTGATATTGTGGATGATGGTGGGGTTTACAAGATCGGTTTTGCACAGTGTTGTATGCTGTCAATAAAGCCCATCTTCTGTTTGCACTACTATTCTGACCACTACAGTGCAATAAATTGCAATGAAAAAATAGAGCATCTCCTTGAAAAAAATCAATTTTCTTTAAAACACCAGGACTGATATTCTACCGCTCACTATAAAATTATTTTCAATGTTTTCATGATTTACAACATGGTTATGAAATGTATGTTTACTTCCATACCATCTCTATTTATTTCTTCAAAACAAAACGCAGACGATATTTTTCGAATTGAATAGAAATTATATGTTCATGCATTTTTGTTGTTGGAAGTGTATTCATCGACATTTGATATATTGTAACATGATCTACCTCTTTTTTAGGATCTGAAATCGATATGTTGCCCGTGTGTATATGTTAACATGTGTACGTTATTGTTTTTTGTATGATTAATGCAGATTGAACGAAATTATTCCCTTTCGGATGATTTGTACAATATGTTGTTATATATTAATGATAATACATTGAAAGCTTACAAACATGTTAATCCCACTAATTTCGTGCCTTTCCAAAAGCAGCAAAGAATCTTAAGCCCAGTACTGGTCGTTGGTTGTTTTTCACTTAAAAAAGATCTGTTGTTGTTGTGAATCATTTCATCTTATTTTTTGCCCTTTGTTTTATACAAATAAGATCGCTCTTTGTTCGCGTCACATCACCGTGGACAGTTATTTGTTACAGCTGATACACACCCCATCTTGAAATATTTTGAAATAAATACTTTACAAAAGTAAATTCCATTTGGCTGTCTAATAATGTGGCTACGATTCTGATGGTTTCAATGAGATATAACATCTGGCGCACGTAATGTAGAAGAACCGAAATTACATAGTTATAGAAAATCAGCTTCCAGACCAAAATTGGTGATCGATGAATATATTGCTTAAGGGTCGCGTCCGATGCATAGTGTAGGATTCGATAAACCAATGTATATCATTAGCGCATCCACTTATGAATAACAAGATATTCAGAATATTAAGAGTATGACTATTCTGATTCGTCGTTGTGTGCAGACAATATTACTAGACACTTCGTGCATTCTGCATTATTACATTAGCTCAGTATTATGTGACGTGTCACGAATGTTAATGTGAATGTTAATGTGTATTCAAGATTGATTAGTAATAATTTCATAAAGAAAAGCAACTTGATTCTATACGATTTTGACTACGAAATACTGTTACATAATTCATCTCACATTCTAAAAATCAACTTTCTTAAGCTGGATCTCGTCACATGATACCAATGTCCCCTGTGGGGAATATGTTTTATGAGTTTGACCGTCACTCTGGTATCTTTCTTTCCTGTTTTATGATTGAAATATTTTGGATAAGCGCTGATAATCAAAACTGTTTATTACAAACAAAGAGTTACCAATCATCCCCTTTGCTTCATCGGCATTATACACGATTCGTGTTTCACATAACTTCTATGTATTATGATAAGAACAATTCACAAGTCAATAATATAAATAGTATACGAAATGAGACATAATACCAATTTCACAGTCCCTTATTCGAAGCCGTGAGAACTAATTGCGCTTATTGTCTACATGAACATGTCACCTGTTAGGTCCTACTTTTGTATTTATACTAATAAAACCTGGGACCCCAAAAAAGTATTAAAAAACAATTTAAAAAATTAAATTGAGATACAAACACAAGTTGTCTATACTCCCCAGAAACACTCTAACGCAAAAACAAAAGCTGATGTAAATTCATGATAATGACAAGCTCAAACCTGTATTCTTTAATTTAAGCTTGAAAAACAACAAAATAAAAGCTTTCTTTTTGTTATTGCTGTCTAATATAATGGAATGGAAGTACTATATTTGAAGTGTTGCTACCGTCAATTGGTGATTTGACGGTCGCACCTCTTCAAATACAGTACTGTTATTCCGATAATAATGCATTTCAAAAAGAAATACTACGTTAGAGCTTTGAAATATGTATAAATTTGAAATCCAAAAAAAAGTTCCTCCAAACTTTATGAATGATATTTGCGCATAGACGTCATGGCTAAACGTGACGTCTTACAGATGAGAATTTAAAAACTAAACGTTATTGTGTTAACTCTGCGTATTTGAATTCATTTTTTGTTTCTGCATGTCAAGTGTGGAGTAAACAGTGACTTTTAGCCAATGAAAAAAGTTTTTACATCCAAATTGCATTACATGATAGTTACGTTGATACTGCGTTGTAACTGATAAACAGAGAGAAAGTAGGTGTGCTAGCCTATGAGACAACTGGCACTCAAATATCAATTGACGTAGATATAAGCAACTGAAGGGCACTGTATTTATTTTTTTTAACGATTATTTCATATAAATTAAGAGATGGAGACCGCTGTGCATCAAAACAGTTTAGAACCGTTGGTTGAGGGATGGTCGACACATATCAACTTGAGTTATTACTACCCTGTCTATTCTGATGTGAAATCACCTACAAACTGAAATCGACCTCAATCTTCAAACCTCACTATGAATGTTTGCCTTGGAAGAAAAGCTTTAAACGCTAAACACCAAACAATGAAACAATCAACAAAAACAAGGAAAAGAACTTTTATCGTTCCATTAAATAAATGTTCATTAGTTGTTTTCTTGAATTCTAAACACCTGCGAAATGTTGATGAATGCCAATTCAATTCAAAAGACAGCTGGCAAATTATCATTTAAAAATGTGAAATTCAAGTATACGATGTAACTGTCCTTGTTTTCATACATAAGTGTAATTCATATTGCATTGTCATTTGTAGGTTTGATAAGACCCTAAAATGGCCCTAAATTTTAGCTTAAATTTGAAATAGGAAATTGTCGATCACTGTTTGACAATGAATTAAAGCTATTACAATGAAAACTAGTAAATTTACATTGATTTTTTGGACAGGGAAGCTAGAGCGCATGCGCTGACCAAAAAATCCTTTTACATGATATTTTACACATCTGACGTGACTATTTAGTTTGACAACGCCTGTGCTCTATGTTTCCTAGGCCTTAATTTCGTTGAAATTCGGACGATTTTGTCAAATTTTGTCCAAAAAACTCTGTTTTCAATCAATGTGGGATGTAAAAACAACGCTTTAACATTCAACTTTTACAAGAAAATTATACACAACTTTCTCAGAAGTCTTTCCATCAATTTAAAAAATCTTTTATCTTGAAACATTGAACTTAATAACCAGGACCAAATATGGCCCTTACTGAACTTACTCCTTCCAAGGAACAAATATGATATGCATGTTCAGTACTAATCAAATTGATAATAGATTTCATATGAATGTTAAAGTTTTCGTAAACTTGATCGAACGATGTGCGAATGTTCAATAAAACATTTACTTAAACATGGTGGCAAAACAATATTAGTGGTTCATCTGGAGTCATAACAAAGTTCAAATTCTGATATCATGCATTAAAATAATGACAAGGTGCGTTCGATCTCAATCTTAACTTATTTACTAGGCCTGTCCGTAGTTTTCAGGTCAAAGGCAGATGCTTAGATTTGAGTACTCCAGGTATATACTCAACATTCCATTGGCAAACAACTTTCACAATCTCAGGACAAAACAAAATAACAATAGCTTAAATATAAATGAAAACGTTTTTGTAAACTTGGTAGATCCATGTGAAAGAGTGTTCAATTAAGTAGGAATATATTTTATCTAGCAGCATGTCTAAAAACAATTCAAATACCATGTAGCGGCGTCAACTCGTAATGTTCATTATGCAAAACTTAAATACATAACACATAGCAAATTTGGCATTTATTTTTAAAAAATGTGGGTATATGTTTTGCAAGTGTGTACATGCTTGCTCTAGTTCAGAAACTAATCATGACCATTTTACCAAAGAAAACGATAACTTAAGTGATATTTCACCTGGATTAAGAAGACAGTATTTCATCGGGAAACGATCCATTATTTTCTCAAGTCTGATAGGATCAGTGACAGTCAGTTGACCTTCTAATTTGTGGTCCAGACGTCCGCATTTATGGGAGCTTTCTACTATCTGTCAACATCAAAATCAACATAATAATTAGAATACCAAACTCCGAATCATGTATTGATTTCATAAGAGGATTTGACATTTACAGTTCCGACTATTAAGTCATATTGAATTAAATACACTGTATGGTATTCATTTAATTTTATTTTTCTTCCCTTTTAATTAATTGATTTCTGTAATTACATACCCTACTAAGGTTGCTTTATGTTTTATATTCTTGAATGTTTGATAGTTTTGTCTTTGATGCTTAACATTAATTGAACAAACTAACAGGCGAGAGTAAGATAAACGCATGCATGTTTTACGTGATTACTTGTAAACATCCGTTTGTCTTTTCACATTTATCTAAGGCAATAAATACTGTCATCATGTTAGGCTCCAAAAACTCATTTATGTACCAATATCTATAAAAATAAGTTGGTAAAAAGTATTATAAAAATCGTAAAAAACATTTATTTCTTATCTTAATTTGATATCATCTCCCATGGATTAGTTGCGACCAGTTACAACTTTGTTTAACATCTATCAAGATCAGTATCTACATACGTTCGTGTTAAATATAACCTAGAGTTACCGTGGTAATGTAGTATTATACATAGAAATACATGCGAAATGATAGAATTATTCTGAAATGAAATGTAATGTAATGTAAAATGCTTTTAGAATATCAAAAACAAATTGGTCACCATACGTTTTGTTCTGTTTAAACATAGAATATACACATTTCCTAAAGCTACCTATATAAACTGTATATTTTGTCTGTACAACCCCTTATTATTACGCAAACTTTGGACAAATTGAAATGAAGCAAAAATATTCTTCTGTGCAGTTATGAGTGATTATAATTTGTTCATTAAAATGCTAATTCTAATTAGTAGATTGCATTCCTCGTCGAAATGTGCTGCTAAATAAAAAGTAAAGACCCAATGTGTTCTGCTATTTTGTAATCCAAGATGGCTAAATATAACATACCACCTCAAGTTAGAAAAAAACAAGCAACTAATCAAAACTTATAAATCTCGTTAGTAAAATTTTGGAAATGTCTTTTTTCTCAGCATGAATTTAAGTTATAAACACTGAGTTGCATTGCCGAGAACAATAAATAAAAGATCAGAGGCAAATATTCCAACAGCAATAATTTAAAAAAAAAATATGTCCTTTTCCATTAATAATCGTGTAAAATAACCAAATAAATAAGGTAAAATGAAAGGAACAATGTGAGAAAAGGCTATTGAAAAGACTATGTGTCGCTGCTCAACAAGTTGATGTAATATTTAGATTGCATACCCATAATCTTGATGCCACAAATGAGCTCCACCAGTAAACGGCTCTTTAGTTACTAATTTTCCGTGATAGTGGTACACTTCGTCTCCAAGTAACTAAATTGATTTGTGCCAATTAGGAAACAGTTTTCGTATAAATAAAAAAAAAAACATCGAAATATATGTATGCAGTGTAAAGCTGTCATGGGGATCAGTTACCTTCGGAACTCGACATTGTTACACGAATATTCTCAGGCGGTATACCCAATATCTAGTAAAATATGGAACAGTTCCTATGTATCTTTTATTGTTTGCAATACCTACAACTAATAACCTGATAGTTGATTTTTCGTTGTGTTTTGTAGTGAAAAATCTTTTTAATTCAGTCAATTGGACTTTTTCTTTTCAATAAAGTTTAAAAAAAAAGACTACTAACTTTGTCACCTTTTATTTCACTCGACGAAGTTAATGACATAGGACACACCTTTCAAACGATATGTTTAATGTTCAATGCCCTTAAAAGATAATATTTTCATTGGTCAAAATGCATTGTTCGCTCAACGTTATTTTGTTTGTTTTTCATTTTGCTATTGCGACGTTTCGAATAACTTGTTTTTTGCACTTGAATTTATGTGCGATGTTAATCTATTGGTTTTATCATTTCATTGTCACTATGTTATAAATGAGTACCTTTTCACATGTTCCGGCCACTTTTTCTGATCTACTGACCATTCCAATTATATCATTGCCTGGATGACCCCATATGGTCAATTTTGCCTCTCGGCCTTGACAATCAGAAACCTTTAATATGTATGAAGATGATTAAGATAAATAGCATTTGATATTTATGAAAGCCAAATACAGGGACGTACACATGGTAAATGAAGTACACAATATACTGGAAATCAATTATGTACGTTGTATCATCTTGTAATGTTAATCCATTGTCCAAATTACAATGCACTTTTATAATATTTTTTGAATCAATCTATTTACGAATAACACGATTACAAATAAATCAACTTTCTGTAAATCCAGGAAAGCGCTTCGGACGCAATGAATCATTAAACTAGTTGTTTTTAATGTGGTCTGATAATTTCCGTTTGCAGCAGGATGTTCATATGTTTAAATTGTAGTGAGAGTGAAATATGCAGTATTATTCAAAAATGTACATGCATGATATGTTTTAGGCAATTGATAAGTCAAAACTTAAAAAAAAACTACATGTTTAACAAAGGTAAATTGCATGCATGAACACTGATTGTTTAACAAGACCGCATCATGTTTCCATTGTCATAATTGTTTAACTTAAACGATAATGTTTACCTGCACTTTATTTTTGTTTAAAAGCTCCGCAGTAGTTGGATCTTCAAATTGTTTGAAAACTTTGTCTACTTCTTCTGCATCTAACAATTTTCTAAGGGGTAAAATATAATTCACACATGTGTGTCCTTGCGAATGTAGTAGACACAGTCCTATTGTGTTGATGACAGCTATGGTATTGTCACTGTGTAATTTACTTAGATATTTAAAGACTCGTATTGACGTATAGTTTCGAGTAATATACAGACACCTGTGTTCTACTGACCCTACATGTGTGTTGAACTTTTTATGTCTTCAGTTAGTTGTACCGTTGGTTAGCTATTTTATTTAAGTTACATTGTAAACGTTAGACAAAGAAATTTAGACTTTACTTTTGTCTGTATATTAATGGTTTATGTCAGGTGACTTCAAATTATCACTTCTTACATGTATGAAACCTTTTAATATAAACATGTTAAATACATGTATAGTTAACAATTACATACCTTATTACGATATATCCAAACTTCTCAAAGTCTGCCTTCACTTTTGTTGTCACTTCAAGCGTGTCTCCATTAAACTGGTGAACTTAAATATCAGAACAGATATCAAACATAATAAATGAGAAAAAGGAAATGCTGTAAACAGATTCGGTAGATAGGGACCATTTGAACTCATTATTCAACAGAACATACAGAAGTCAACACATTTTTTCATCGAAAACAACTGCCAACAAAATGCAAACGTAATACGGTTGTGATCTTTGGTGTTCTGAACGGGGAGTTCTTGACCCAACACGCAGTATTCTTGTTGTCTATTTTATAACACATTCGGGGATGTCTTAAGTATCACATTTGTATTTATTCATTAAGAATGGTTTACATGTAGTTATATTAATATTGACTGATTTGCTTATTGTGTTTATAGCAATTATACACATTGCCCTAATTTGTACGTTGCAAATCAGTATGCTTTAACAAATAAGAATCCTGCTGTTATATTGTATGTTTCCAAAATCTTTGAAAACACAAAAGGATGTGGTATGATTGCCAATGTGACAACTATCGACCAAAGTTCAAATCAAGTGGACGTGAGCAAATATAGGCAACCGCGGGGCATTAAAACATTCTTTACAACAAAAAAGACACAACGAACAAATCTGAATTTTTTTTGCAGTTACTGACAACTAGTTCAAAGCCATTTACACCTTAAAAAAAATATGTATCTGAGACTTCTATGTTCTGTTTTGTATACTGCTGTTTGTCATCGATTGATTTTGTGTCGACTTACGAGTTTGAATGTCCCTTTCGCCTGTCTTTTACACACATTCAAATTACCTGTTTTCACAATACACTATTTGGATATATTATCAAAACGAATAATAAACAAGCAGCTGACATGTTTTTCTGGTATGCTACTTGTATTTGAAAGCATTGCGCTCGCTGTTTATCATCACAAGTATCGCAAAGCAACGTTCATTAAGTAATCAAACAAATCCATATAGAAGCTAAAGAATATCAAAAGCATGTTTAAAATTGAACTTCGTCAAAAGATTAAAATTATGTAAGGAAATGTGGTCAGTATAACTAAAAATAGTGACGAAAATATGATATTCTGAATCTTGACAACGCCATACCCCACAGTTTTATTATTCATTGATCAGCAATATGAAAAAGATTCCAATTTTCTTAATTATGCTAAAATCATTTTAGTTTTAAAATGCATGTGTTTTATAAATCAGTTATATCGAAGCTCACAGCGCTCTAGGTAGACAAATGGATAAAGTTTTGGAAGCCGAAGACCCTTCCGGATTTATTTTTTTCTGTGAATTTCTAAGAAATAATGAGGGTTTCATGTCAAATGTGGTTTTAGCTATCCCGAATAATTTAGTCGCGAAATTTACATGGTTACATTTACTCGAAAGTAAGAGAGATCGATTACGGGTAGGAACTGAATTATAAGGTTTAAATGTTAGCAATGTGGCACATACCTCCATTTAGATCGCACTCTCCCGACATTTTGTGGCACTTTTCTCCTTTGAAAATAAATAGTAAGTTTTGCATTCTGATTGGTGTACATTTTATGAATTGAACTTTTTTAAACCAATAAACTTATTTTTGTTATACACACTCGCATATTTTTGTCATTTTTACCTATTATGTCTGTTTGTTTTGTTCACACATAGTTGTCAGTATGATGGAATTTTATGCGACTGTCATACAAGTAAGAGGTTTAGCTAGCTATAAAACCAGGTTGAATCCACCATTTTCTACATAAGAAAATGCCTGTACTAAGTCAAGAATATGTCAGTTGTTATTTATTTATTCATTCGTTTGATGTGTTTGAGCTTTTGACTTTGTCATTTGCTTAGGGACTTTCCGTTTAGAATTTGCCTCGGAGTTCGTTATTTTCGTTATTTTACTTTTTGCAAGGACTGTGTCAACTGTACATTTTTTCTTATACAGTCGATAGACAAATCGTGGTTTTCGAACGACAGTGTGAGTTGTTAGCGAATCTGTTTACAAACTAGCTTATAAACGAGTTAAATGTAATGCGTTGACAATGCATTCATCTTTAAATAAGGCTACCACATTTAATATCAAATGAAAATAATTTTTCAACTGAACAGTGGTACATTTATTAAGAGCAAGGATATAGACAACAGTATTGCTTTTAAGTGTTAAATCAAACTCAATTTTCGTGACACTGATTTAAAGTGATATGTATAGGAAAAATGTAGGAGTTGTAACTGATTTACATTACAGTAACGTTGAGATGTTCGAGTAAAGTTGTGCATGCGACAAGAATATGTGCAAGCCCTTGCATTGTCAATCACGTACAACTCTTAATTTGTACTGTAAATGTTTTGTGTCATAGTCACTGTGTTGCATGACCTCCGTGTATAAAGTTTCTGGATTTTCTTTTCCAAAAGACCTGCAAAAACATGTAGTAAAAATAATTATCCTCGAAATTGGTCGGCAAAGGAAAATTGTTGGGTAGAAGATGGATTTAGCAAAATGGATTCGTCTCATATATTACAATATATACACTTTTGCGAAGGGCTTGAAATAGGTATGTTAAATTATATGGGTTGACGACGTCATTAATGTTTTCTGAACATAAATTACATTTATAACATTTTCCACTTGGCGTTTATGCAAAACTTAAGCAATTAATCCTCCAGGTTGCATTTCTGTAAATATAGACAATGCAATTTCCAATAGGAACTCCCTTTATGGCTAAAAAAGTGTGAAACTTTTACAATGAAGTTTCATGAAAAAATATATCATAGAATGAAAAATTGATATGCACTACTTTTTTTATTCAAAAGTCAAAACATAGGGTTGTGTGGCATATTTTCATTATGTATATGCCTCGAACTTCTAAGAGCTTAAACTTATACTAAAATTCTGCACTACCCCTCACTTCACTGTAGGTCATTTCTCAAAATTCTATTCCACCGCTACTACGTGCCTTTATACTGGTAACATTCCCAAGTTATGTCTCTTTGAATTGAAACATAGAGTTCATATCTTGGAACCAGTCCGTAAACAAAACAAAATAACTATGAATATTATATATTTCTTAAAAAGAGGCATGGTTTCTGAAATAGCTGTATTTACAAAGTGCAACATTCATGCCAAATTTTATTTAGCATGTACAACCTTCTATTTTTTTAACTAAAAATAGCTATCGACTACACTTAAACAACACGTTTATACTAACATCGAGATTATAATGTTATGCACATATGCGGAAATTATTGCTGACATATATTTCACCGTTTTAATAATTTTCGGGGTTTAACCGAGTGACAAAGTAAAACAAACAAAGGGGTAAATAGTCCTAAGCTTATAACAATGAAGCTCCTGGCCATTCCGAGATTATTTTTTTCACATGATTTTCTAAACAAAATTCAGAGCTAATTTCGGGTAGCACATCAGGCAGTGCACAGGTTTATTCAACAACTTGAGAATCCATTGCTTTTCCAATTGGACACAATTAATCATGATTAAGTCAAGTTAGATTTTTATGATTTATCTTCGTTTGCTTGGTTTGCTGTAGTTTGGAAGCCTTTTGTTTTAAGATGAATTGAAAAAAAAAGTAATTGCCACTCATCCTAGATTGTAAAGATTTGAGGATATTTTAACAAACGTATTCATGTTGAATAATTTTGAAAACAGTAATATTTGTATTTTAAGAAGGTGACAATTGTTCAAGACAGATACTATTGATAATTTGTACACGTGGAATATTCTTTGCAAAGGGATAGTATTTTATTTTTTTTGGGGGAGGACTAATATTTATTATACAGTAAACTCCGTAAAGTTGAAGTCTCTGTACGGTATGACTTCCCTGGGTGATAATTGTTGTACAGGCTGGCTAACTTTCCAATATCAACATATAATTATGTTCATAATTATGTAAACGCACGAAACAATGACACACTCAAGTCTATGATGTACTCTTCAGATGCCTCGTGGGTACTCCTACTAGATTCTGAGTGTAGAGATGAGTCGCTGGAATAAGTAATTTTCAAAATTTCAAGTTTATAACTATGGATAGAAATTAAATTTGAACTAAATACACGATAAGGTGATTGCTTATATCATAGGTTTCTAAAATACGATGTCAGATGTAAGTTGTGATTCAATATGTTTTAGAATGATTAAAATCACAGTCGGAACTCTGCATCAGATAATTGTCAACTCCGATGAAATAGCATACAAATTGTGATTTTGGAGATGTTTCATCGATAAGTATTTCTACTATTTTCAAAAGAGTGGCGGGGAGGAGAAATGGATGTGTTTTTTTATACTTCAATACACAAGAGCATTTAAGTGTGATAAGGATGATAGTCAATAATTGTAATGTAATCTCTCCGGACGTTGCATGTATTCACACCAAATACAGCTGGTTTGCCTTCGATATTCGCTTACTATTAACAAAATACTGTATGCATGTTCTAATGTGTCATAATATAAACCAAAAAAAAAAACATTCGATCTTATAACTTCTGATAAATTGTGAATCTTACCTAGTTTACAATTACAGACCTTGTTATGTTACTATCTTTCGAATGATGTAAAGGTTATCTACGAGGTTATTAAAGGTAGTACATAAACATTTGACATATGTGAGGGTGTCATGGGTATATCAAAATTTATTCAAATTGTCTTAGTAGTTTGGATTCAGTTTGTTTCACTAGTCTACTATAGTGTAAAACGCGAATAGAAAGCGTACTTTCTTCTTCCCTAAAGCGTTCGAAATAACTGACTTATAATTAAAATGGAAATATGTTTTTCATCCTCAAACATAGAATACTGAAAGAGGAAAACATGTACTTTATACTGAAATAAAAATAAACAAAAACAATTATAAACTTGCATTAATCACGTTAATTAAAATGTTCTTCCTTCAAAAAAGATATTCAACACAGACATGAATCAGGGCGATTCCAGATGTAAATGAAAATGATAGCTATTACTTTTTGTTTATTTTAAAACGTTAATGATAAAAAAATAATCTGATGTGAGTAGCAACACCTGTATTTGCAGGATTTTAAAATAATAAAGTTTGAAAATTTCGTAAAAAAAAAGTACCGGCGGAAAAAACAAATGATCATGGTTTAATCTATTAGCATCAACATTGTTTGTTTTTGTTATATCACCCAAAAGTTTGAATGATTAATACACGTGATAGGACGTCTTCTTCGTATTCGACTTCCGAGTCCGTCAGTTGCTACAAATCTCTAATTATAAGAGATTTATAATAAGTCTATGACCATGAACCGACGCCGAATACGAATACAAAAAAGATACTAAATAGAAAGTTAAAGTTCATTAGAAGAAAGGGAAACCATAAACCTATGGCAAAGAGATTGAAAACAAACAGACAAAAACAGCCCTCATAACACTACATAGAAACCGAGTAATGAGCAACACAATCCGAGCTTTGAAATGCAACTCGTATGGAGTCGTAATTCTTTTATTCTGCATGCTTCAAAAACAGAAGATAGTAAATATGTTGTTATAATAGGTGGCCATTAATTAGCAAATGTTTTCCTCCACAGATTCATCATGTCTATAGACATAAAACCCTTAAGAGCATTAGCGAAGATGATGGTTAGAAACAGTAATTTGTCATTTTTTCTCGATAATAGTATAGCCTTAATTTAACCGTACATCTGTTAATGTTGATAATATAATTTGGGTCTCAATTCTAAATACACATAGCTGCGGCTAAGCACATCTAAAACAACCACGCACACTATATACAAAAAAAGTTGAATGGACTGAATGCATGCATTATAGTGTACATGATTATCCCATGACAAGTCTATTGTTTAAACGTGTGTGCACGTGCATTTTTTTTTATCTTATAATTCTATGCAAAAGTTACACATGTTATAAGATCTTTCGTCGCAAATTTAGAATTTTATAACAGAGGCTCTTAATTTCTTCACGAAGAATATATAGTGTATATGACTATCTCCTCCCAAATTATTTATGATTTACCTCAATAACCTGCTCTACCTGTTATGGTAAATCATTATGTGTTTGCATTGAGAAAAAAACAACAAACTAGGAAAGACAAATTTAAAGACTCCGAGATGTATGGTAACACGCAATAGAGGTTTCCCGATTTGCTACGTATCAGGTACGGTTGGTACGTAACTCAACCGTGAGTTTTTTTTTTGTATTTTTTTTGAGGTATCATTTGATGCAGAAGATGATTTTATTCTTCATGATAAAATTAAGAAATCGAATTGCATATCAGCAATTAAAAAAACAACTTCAGAGTTTCTAAAACACATTGTTGGTGAATATATATGTTATTATTTAGTTAGTGCACACATGCATGAATCAAACAGACCTTACACAACCTGAGTTGACACGACTTTATATTCTAAATAAAGATATGCGTTTCTGGTTGTTTTTTTTTAAATTTATTTTAGCTTTGTTTATCTATAAGAAAAAAATATATAAGACTATTATTTTTTTCCCATTTATAAACAGATTGTGGAATAATGTAAATACTATTTATAAACGACTTTCTTAAACACGTCGTCTAACTGATGATGGATATATACGTTAAGAAGACAAATTGTGTTGATTTCTCATTAGTTCTTGTATGATTTTAAAATTAGGTATTGCCCTCTAGAAATTCTAAAGTAAAATGAAAATATCTTTAAAAAAATAATTTACTTCTCTATTGCCAATAAAAAGACTAGAACAATTGTCGTATAGTTAGAGTAAATTGCACTAAAACTCGTGTTCTTTAAATAGTTTATCAGATGACCTTTCCGGAACATCAATTGGTGTGTTTTAAGAGTCTAAGCGTCTAGTTTGGTTGTACGTATTTGTGTATTTTGTGGTACTAAATTTTCATTTGTCTGTGCTGTATGAAACGACGAACAGAACTTAATATATGTTTTAGTTGGGTTTTTGTCTCTTGTTTAGAAAAGATATCGATGAATCGAATATTGATAACATAAAATGACTCATCAACATATTAAGATATAGGGAAAAGTTTAAAGAGGGGCAAACTATACCAAAGAGATAATCAAACTCATTAGTTGTAAAAAAATTTAGTCTGATGTGAAACAGAATACATAATCACATGTGTTGATTTTTTTATCCACTTTCGAGTTAAACCGTTTCTTCGTCGTTAAATTGACGCATGTTCTCTTCTGGTAATTTTGTGCTTTAATTCATTATCTTCTGAGTATTTAACGCAAGAATGTTTCGATATAAAATGAGTATAACTATTTACAATTACACAGATATTGTTAAGCAATGTTGTGTTTCTGTCCTTTAAAGAGTATGCTGTGTTTGATGTTGTTTTGCTGTTTACTCAAGTTCTCTTTTTAGCAAAATGCATGATGCAAAAAAAAAAAAAATAAAAAAAAAAATAAGAAATTATTATAAGACTATATGGTCATTAACAATGTCCATGGACTTCCTTTCGTTAATTCTACTTCTCTCACAAATTAATAGTACAACCCAAATAAACAATCAAGACTATGACGTTCTTATAATTCAGCAATATTTTTTTAATGTGCATAGGAAAGACCGATCAAAAACAAGGATATGGAAAATTCAAGTATTGTAGAGATTTTGAAATAAAAATGAATATGTCATATAAATAAAAAATACATAATTATGCAATGTTTCTTTTAATATAATATTTTTTTCCAAAAACAAGTATGCTGTAACTGGATAATGATGTCTTATCCTACTATTGCTGAGCCTGTAATAATAATAACTTTAATTGAATTGAAAACTGTTAGTAAGCCATTTACAAATTCCATTTTTAAAAAACTTCATCTTGCTTGTCATACATGAATGCTTTCGTATTGGCTAGTTAGCACAGTTCACATGTTCAAGTCCAACACATCACAATTTGCTCTCAATTTTGTTAGCATCCTGGTGATGGTAAATCCAGAAAAGCGCCTCGAGCGCACTCAATGTATATAGTGTTATCTCAATTTTCAAACCATATTTTCATATATTGCCCATCTTCATCTATTATAAATTTGCTCTCATGTTTCTCTTTTTGTCTGCGTGTTTGTCAACAGTGTTAAGCACACCCTATGAATTTATTAACACATTCGTACATTAATTTTTGTAAATTTCTGTATATAATTTTGTATGTACCTTACAATGATATTAGTTAGTTATTTTTGTTTTTGGTATGCTTTACTCCCTACCACAGTCTACAATTTCTCTTAATGGTAAATCATACAAATTATGTGTTTAAAGTATAGTTCTCATCTTCTAGTTATTTAATCTTTTATACTGAAAACGGAGGTTTGCCATGCCCATCGTGTGAGAAAGTTAGCTGTTATTTCCACGAATTCGTACATTTTCTGGTAACAATTTCACAACATCAAAGATTGATGTTATTACAAACTAGGAACCCAATAGCATCCCAATATCATCGCTCTGGACTCTTGTTGTAAGTGCTTGATTTTCCGTGTTTGTCATATTGGCGTTATAGATGTACGGATATTACTAAACAGTTTGTAATTAACTCTCATATCTAAAGTAAATTTGGCGTCTTGTTTGTCGACTTGCTCCTTCTTTTTTGTATGTGCAATTCTACTGCACGTTTGTTGTGTTTAGTCGCCGACGTTGTCATGCAATCAATCCGAAATATTTGCTCTATTTTTCTTTTGATCCATTTTTACCTATCAAAGAAATATTGATATGCAAACTGATTTCTTAATTTTTGTGTTGATGATGTATTTCACTAAAAATCAAATTATTTCATGTAAATTGCTCATATCACCAATGGAATTGTGTTTACACGTGCACATATGAAACGGCGTTGACATCAAGCCAAAGTTACCACCGAACAGCTATAAGGATTCGGCTGTAGGAATGCAAACGTATTGTTCTTACTGTGGTGAACAATTACTGTTGTTTTTGCAATATCTACACCAAACTCATTTGTGGCTGTACAAGTTAGGATTCCAGACTTTTGCATATCAACCAGCTCTATTACATCACCATTACTGTGTATATTGTGTGGAGGAAGCGTGTTGATATGATGGGAAAACTTAAAAAAAAAAAAGAATTAACAAAGATTGTATATTTGCTTTTATTATTAAACTGAATATATATTAATGTAAAACGAAAACACTCTTTATTTATGTTTAATGATACTTGTGCATATTAAAATGCTTATTTTGTAACTATTGAATTAATTAGCTGCTGTAATAAGATGTGTAGGTAAAGTCACGTCGCTTTTTTACGTATTTATTTATGGCAAATCTCATCTGTCCATCATAATATTTTTACATATTTGCAATCTTCAATGTAAGTCTTTTCTTTTATAATGTTTCGCTTCATGATTTCGTTTTGGCTGAAATTTCTCAGTATTTCTGTATGCATGGTTGCATTTCAGACAACTAAGAGTACTTCCACTGCTATTCTTGTCTATAATTAAAGATATATACAGTCCCGCTCGGTATAATAGGTGCATACAATAACATACATGTATAGAAATATATTAGGCCTTGTACCTATACCAGAACCCAAAAGCGCGTCGTGAGCACCATTTTTGATCATACATATGTGGCAAATAGGCTAACAAACAAACAAAATATGATCACAGGGTATGTACAAAGACAATTTTATGATTATAGTAATTGTAATATCTTACTGAGGAGAAAGTCCATGTGATTTTAGGAACTGGATGACCTGTCGCGGTGCAGGTAAAATTATGAGGTTTACCTGCATGCCCAGAATATACTTGTGGAGAAGTTACCAGTTTTGGAGAATCTGTGAAAATACAAATATAATTCACGAAAAATGAAAAAAAAAAATGAAAAGGTAAACAATGTTAACAAATAGATAAATAAAGCGTTGGTTTATGTCTGTCCTATTTGCATTCGTTTCTTGTATAACTATGAATTATTAGCTTATATTCACTTTAGTTGCACTATCTATGATAGTTGTCTGATTGGTAATGATACCTCATTTCTTTATCATATGTGTCCATATCGAATAAAGATGACAAGGAGCTGCAGGCAACTTCTATTCAAAGACGTACAATTGTGTTTTGTTTTTACAATACCGAATATATAAATATATGTATCAAAGGTGTGAGTTCAAATCCCGTTGAGGGACAGACATTTGTCAGCATAAAAATCTAATAATTCTAACATTATGGTGACTTATATATATCTACTTAAAAAATATGGAATAGTGTTCATAGATGCATGTATATCACCAAAAATAAAAAATTAACATTTATAATTGAAACAGGTTCATCAGAGAGTTTAAGTTCCGCTTATCTTTGCGTACCATATTTAAATAATTGTTTTCTCTACTTCCTTTCTAGATAATGATAGTTGCGGAACATACTGAAACAAACTGCAGTCTATTGAAACTTATAGATAATGATACGCAGATGTTTCATCGGTAAATTATAAACCTCGGGCAAAATGAAAACTCTGCAAGATTTCTGTTGCGAACCAAAAATAGTTACAAAACATAAACCGGATCCTTTCAACATCGCGATAATCATCTGAATTATCAAAGAAGTACTTGAACTGAGATTGACAAATGACCAAAAACTTGCGGTAGAGGGCGTGGAAATAACAAGAGTTGTCGAAGAAGGAGAAGAAATGTAACACGTGGTCAAAATAGGGGCAACAAAGTACAAATAGTGGTCGTGGATCGTATCAAAATTCCTTTTTTAACAGGAAGATAGAACAATCAACAAATCAAAGAGAATTTGATAACTTTAATAATCCAATAGAGCCAACAACTATAAGGTAATTCTCCCAAAAACTTTAAGACAATCATATTGAAAGGCATTATTTGTTCTCCAACAACCTGCATGTACCCCCAAATACTGCATTATTACAATCGGACATTCAACAATTGGTAGTAAGAAAAAAGACGACAATACTCCTATACACAATAAATAAAAAAAGTTCCTATATCTCGAAATGATGAATATTTAGATGCATACATAGATACTATAACAAGCTTTCCAATTACTTTCAAAATACATCAAAAGTTTTCTTAGAAATTTTTAAAAAAAAAGTGCACTTTAGGAACTAAAAAGGTGAAATATCTCATATTATTTGAGGAGTCGACAAGGACTGTGAAATCGTCATAATGGACAAGGACTACCTTAGAAAACAATCATTTGATAGCAATTATTTTGAGATGATATCGATGATAATAATTAAGTTTGCATCAGTGTCAAACATGAAAGATAGCGCTTACAGATAATTTATAAACATAATGTAACTGACATGAGTTTTTCTTAAATTACTTTGAAAAATATGACTAAACTTCTAAACACAAATAAATTTATATCACAAACTTGCATTATATGTATATCACATACCATAAATAGCTTCTAGTATTATATTGGCCCGACTGGATCCGATATCATTAGTAGCTATGCAGGTGTAAAGACCAGTAGCTTCACTTGTTACATTCGGAATAAACATAGTATTACCTGTAATGCTGGCAGACGCTAGATGCTAAAGAATACAAACGCTAGTAACTGTTTTTGCAAATTAACACTTATTCAATAAATAAATATCACTAGGAGGTTATACATATTCATCGAAATCGTTTAAAGTATACAATATATGATTTTATTTATAGAAACTTGTTAACGTTTTAGATATTTCTAGCTAAGTTATATTGTTTTCCTGACATCAAAAACATCCACAAATCTAGAGTACTCATGATTAAACCATTGTTTAACTCTTGACTTGACAATAATAAATTGGATAAATTAGATTCTCTTATTTAATGAATTTGTATTACCTGAGTATATTCCCATCTAACACTTGGTGTTGGATATCCAGTTACATTGCATACCAGCCGAGCATCAGTGTAATATTTTACAGTAACTTTAGACTGTGCGGAAATAACTGGTGCAACATATGGTCTTGTCGTCTTTGCTGCCAAATGACACACTTGTACTATTAACTGACAACACATATGCTTGTATGCGAATTTGTAATGATATCATCTCCACTGCACTGTTTGAGATAAATAAGGTTATCTTGTATAGAAATATTATGTCTGTGTAACCTTATATTTTTCTGTATGTCTTTTTTTTTTGTTAAATTTTCGTCCGTTTACTAAGGTTTATTGTCGATATTTTTTCGAATGATTAACCTGCTTACTCTTCTATTTCATGTCTTTCACACTGATTTATTTAAGCTATTTAATATATGAAATATAAGTAAACGATTATAGAAAATGATTTGCCTTCTGAATATTTGTTTAAATTCTGTATGTTTGACTTTAATATTTACGTGAGTGTCTCAAACAAACCTATTTTTTTAAACATTATTATTCATATGAATTAGAGCAGGTAAAACATTTGATTGTTGCACAATTTATTAAATATCTTATATAAGAATAAAGTATTGCCATGTGAACTCGCGTTATATAATTGTATAGTTCGGAACGAACATAATAAATTTCACGCCCTGATATGGTATATCTCCTCCTTATTATTTGGCTATCGTTCAGTACAAAACTACTTCAACCAACCTTTTAACAACATCTTCGAAACTACAACCCTTCACGAAAAACGGATTACATGTCCTAAATCAGCTGATAAGGAGAAGGTCAAATGCATTTGTGCAAAATGAATTAAAAACATACATGTAGGCCTTAATGAACGGGATTCTCATGCTCTTTGGACCCAACCTGCAGACAAACAAAATCACATTGTTACATTTTCAATAATGAGAAAGTGTCCAACCTGTTTAACGTTTGGCTGGAACTGTGCCTGCAATTTGACATACATGTTTAAAAGAATTACAAATGATAGAACGAATTTTACCAGAACACCTCGTGTTGCTACACATAATTTGTTAATAATTGCAGAGTATATGCTGATGAACAATCGTTGATAGCCCCCACAGATTAATCTATTCAAACTTATGAGTTTGAAAGTCTTTTTGGTATCTTTCGCTTCCCTTTTCTTAAAAGACCCTTTCAGTGGAAAGCATGACAATGGTTAACATTGACGTTTCTATAGAAAACATAAGGTCTTCGAATCGGTAAACATGCATTTTGATTGTTGGTGTGAAGTGCACTGGAGTTGGCATTCACCCCTAGGTTTCGCTTTGGTATATATATCTGGTTTGTCTTAATGAAACAACGATATACGGGCATTTACAATCTATTTCGCAATGAAATAATCGACGTTGTTTATATATTTTGTGAATAATAAAGACACGGAGTATAAATCATTTTAATGAATTGCGTCATAACACTATTTAGTTAGGTTTCCATGTGTTGCTTTTTTGTGTTGCTCAATATTTATTTTCTAGTTTTAATGGTGTTTTTTCTTATCTTCATTTGCATTTTTGTTTGACCATTGTATTATCTTTATTTGTATTTTTGTTTGACCATTGTATTATCTTCATTTGTATTTTTGTTTGACCATTGTATTATCTTCATTTGTATTTTTGTTTGACCATTGTGTTATCTTCATTTGTATTTTTGTTTGACCATTGTATTATCTTCATTTGTATTTTTGTTTGACCATTGTTCCTCATCTATAATCTTTCATACGTAGTATAAACTATTTTCACTTATATAATTACTTCTTATTTATGTGTTTTCTCTTATATTGTGTTAATGAATAAATCGGTTGTCCATCTACTGTGTACTAATCACAGATTGTGTTCATACTAACATCTTACATCGATTTCTTCCCAAACTACTTCAGGCGCGGGTAAGCCTTCTGCATTACAAACCACTTCAAAAACAGGTGTCCCTTCAACCACAGTCGTTTCTGATATCAAGTTTATTTTTGGAGCTACAGTTACTAATGTACCTAAAAAGGTCGTACAATTCAGATAATAACTGGGTGCATGAATGTTAACTAATTTGATATTGCCCTATAATACATACATGTCAACACATTATCAATATAATTCTGAATATATTTATAATATTTTGCAAATAATGAGAAACTCTCTTTGTCAAAATGATGATAAGAGCTTTAGATTATATTTTCTAAATTGTGGTTTTCACATTTCTTTGTTATTTTCCCATTTAAAAAGTTTCTTAGTTAAACATTACTGAACACATGTCATTTGTTGTCGTTTATGCATCATGTACATGTTGCTTTAACTAAACGATGCCGTTCGAACTGCATGATAATACAAATTCAATATTGTTTTATGAACATTTAAACTAATAAATCAATTTTAATCAGCCAATAGAAAGACTACATTTACCATTATATTTGCCATTGCTTACATCACTACTTTAATGTCGCGATGTTTCTAGTGTACTAATCTAAAAATTTGTTCAAATTTTGCATGGGAATGCTGCAGAAGGAGATTGCTTTTGTAATGTGTTGAATTTTTACCAATGCGTGAAATTCATATACATGTAGAAAAGACGAATGTATCAATATGATTGAAAAGTTGATACATAATGTAATTGTAATTTGTATTGCTATTTATGTCAGATATTTGGCCATCACTTGTTTGCGTAGAGTGTTAATCGTTTATATGTTAAACCCCATAAAAGAGAGGAGAACGATATCAAAGGAACACTCAATCCCTTAAGTCGAAAATACCAAACAGCGGCATGGCAGGCAAAAAAAAAAGAACAAAAGACCGAACGACAAACTACGGTACACAAAACATAATATAGAAAACTAGAGACTTATAGTATGTACGAATTAAAGTGTAACCTATCAGCTTATGTGTGATCTTTCAATTTCTATGTAGCGACATTTCAGCAGCGCCTGCATACCGATAATATATCTCCGAGTTCATACGAATTCCAGTGCTTGTTTATTCTATAAAGATTTCCTTGATAGAGAGTTGCTGCTCACAAGGAGGATATTTAACAAAGAGTTCCAAGAAATGAAGTTGACATCATCCCCTCGTAAATTTTACGGGCGACTTAACACGTTGGTTGAACGTTGTGATATATGTTCCACTAGTCGTAACTTCAATCCTGTCCCGTTTCCCCCAAATGTGACCTACCCAATTAACCTTATCTACGGGTTTGTACTGTCATAAGTAACAATACGGGTGCAACATGTCGAGCAGGATCTGCTTACCCTTACAGATTACCTGAGATAGCCCCTAGTTTTAATGGGGTTCGTGCTGTTCAGTCTTTAATTTTCTATGTTGTGTTTTGTGTACTGTTGTATGTCTGGTGGTCTTTTTTTTGGGCACACAAACCTATCTCATAAAAGTTACTAACCTATTTCGCAGTTTATGCCTGTGTCACCTTTAAGGCATTCACATATGTATCCATTAAACTGATCCACACAGGTAGCGCCATTCTGACATGGATGAGAAGAGCATTTTCAAGTTCTGGTTTTTCAAAAAATATCAAATATATCAGTATGTCGTGTATATATCTGGTATTTCTAAGGTATTAAGTTATTAAAATATATACACTGGGATAAAATGACACACAACTAACATTCGATTGCAATATAATGAGGGAATGGTCAAATGCTTGGTATTTCGAAGTAAAAGGATTTTAGAAAAAAAACATAACGATTACAGGATCTTCGATACATATTTTTAACATCATTTTATTCGCTAATTGTTTAAGCTGACTATGCGGTATTGGCTTTGCTCATTGTTGAAGGCCGTACGGTGACCTATATTTGTTAATTTCTGTGTCATTTTGTCTCTTGTGAATGGTTGTCTCATTGGCAATCATACCACATCTTCTTTTTTATATAAGGCAATATTTCAAATTTACAGTTTGAGTCTTACTTATGTGTACTTTGTAATTGTCTTTGGATTTATCTATACCATTTCAAATTTTTATTTCTAAGTATCTGCATTTTCATATTATCATAATTAGTTCTTAGTTCTTGTTTCCCTATCAAGATACAACTTGAAAAAAAAAACCTTTAGGCATAGCGTACTTCGATACTGTTTGTATATTCTTGAATGCTACAAATTTTTTTAAGAAAGATTCAAAAAGAGAAAACATATTTGTGTTTATATAATGTATGCGCATTTATCAACTTATTTGTCAAAAAGATCTACACATCTCATATATAAAAAAACATCAAGCGTATGTAAAACATTACCTGTTTCACAAATAATGCCGTGAAAACCAGCTTTACAAGAACATGTGTAACCATTTACACTATCCTGACATGAGCCATACAGACAGGGATTGCTCGTACATTCGTCAATATCTATAATGCAATTTACAACTGTATTGAAAATTCGTTTCAGCCAGTTTGTTTCTTTCTGTTAAGTCTGTTCTGTCTCATTGTTCTGCGAAGAGCACAGGCTGTTCAATCTCTTTCTTTCTTTTTCTAACTTTCAAACAATCATGACAACTTAAATTGTGCACCCGTAGTTGAGAGAAAATGTATAATGATAATGGGTCGTAGTATATTCACGATGTCGTATGATGGTACCTGTGAACTTAATATGTATAGTTTACTTTTTTTGACATGCATTAAAAATTGGATCAGCTGGAGTTATAGAAATAAATGACCTTTTTATTATGATATTTAGCGTCACAAAGATTAATGTCAGAAAAGAGACCGAAGATTGTCTAAGTAATTTACATAAAAATAAATGCA